TCTGTCACTTCCAGGATCTCTAACAACTGAAAAAAAGCAACATTAAAACTGGACCACAAGACACAGGAGTGAGAGCAGAACATGACAAACAAAAAAGTACAAACATAAAATTATTATCTCTTGACATGGTAATTTTTACATAAACAAAATTAATTCCAATCACTTTATCTTAATTTTTTAAAGTAGAAAATAGACAAAGGAGTGGGGTAAAAAAAAATAAAATGTGAAGGAATAGCTGTAACATCCTTGTTTATTCTGGGGAAAGAACATGATAATTCACGACACTTTCACCCACATAAAAATATCCAAGAAAGCCATACGTCAAAGTCAGAAGATCATCTAAAATAAAGACAGTTAGGAACTGTTTATTAAATTACTCAGCTACTTTTCTATTTCTTAATAACAGAATCACAGAATCATAGGGGTTGGAAGAGATGATGAATGTGCTGCTTCATAGATTACCAAGAACTTCCAAGACTGGGTACTGTTTCCCAATTCTCGCTACTAAATTAGGATTATACTATAAATGTTAAATTGAAACCTTACCATATTCCTGAATCCACGTAACAAAACAGACTGTAAGTATTCTTCTAAGTATCTACATTAAAAGGATCCTGCCAGATCCACTCTACTACTCTACTGCGAGTGACTGATGAGAACCACAGAAGAAAAGCAACATACAAAGTAATTAATATTACAAACAATCCAAATTATAATTATGATATTCTTACACAGAAAAAAAAATATAGTTGAGTATTTTCTAATTATTTATGTACTTTAATCTAAATGTAGTCAATTTTATGCCTCTGATTAAAAGACACTTTGTCTGTCAGGACAATTCATTCTTTAGTCAGATCAGTTCCAGGGGGAAATTCCAAATGATCCAGTAAATGCAGACATGGCATCCATTACAATTAAACAGTCAGTGTACGTAGACCTCCCAACTTGTTTTCCTATCACAATGACAGCATGCAGTAATGAATTTTCTGTTCAGAAAGTCTTTGTAAGACCCAGAACAGGAAAGAAATACATACTCCCAAATACTAATTACTCAGAGGCTTAATACTCAACCTCTTCAAAAATCTGGAGATCAGCCAAAAATTGTCATAAATGGTTTGACTTTGTACCAAAACACTATTTATTGGCATTCTTAATTTCTATCTGTGTAGACAGAGTGTGCTTAGTACTTACCAATGAAATAGCTAAATATAACAGCAGTGCTAATTAGATCATACATAAGTGCTTGAGAATTTTGATTATAACCTAAAAGACTATTAAATTCAGCTAAGAAACGTCAACCCCATCTGCTACAGCCGTCACAGAACCGAAGGCGGTCGTGTTCACAAAGGGATCATGCAGAACCTCAACACGTTATTGGTGACACACGTCACATCTCAAATGTGACTCGTCAGCAGTGCAGCCGAATAACTTGTCGGTATAGACCTACTTCTGCCTAAACTCATATGTGGCTTATCCATACAACGAAGAAGTACAGTTACTTGCCTTGAAATGAGGATACGAGGTCTTGACCAACCGTACTGTTTAGGGAAACAAAGTGTTACTGGCAGTGGGTGGAAGGACAGATGCTGAGTACAGCATCTGCACAACACCAGGTGCTTCATCGAACTTTGCTCCCTCCCCTTTACCCCTCTAAACCTCATTCTAAAAGTTTTACATCTTTTTGGTGCAGAAATATATTCCATTTTGACAAGCTCACTGTCGTTACTTACAAAGAAGAAGGCATTTCTCATTGCTACACTGAAATGACCTAAAACAACAAACTAATTAAGAAAAAAGTTTTAGCTTAAATACTGAGAACAAAAGCTGCATGAAATCATCCTCTCTCCTCCTTCCCATATTGGATGTTGCTGTTCTATTCTAACAAAATGAACAGAAACGCCGGGGACAAAAACTGATCCTGCCAAAAGCAAAACCCAGTGACCTCAAGGGGGAAAGAAGTTTTACCTCAAATATATATGTGTAAAGCTAATATAAAAAAAAAAATAAAAAAAATCACCTGTTCTTATATAAATAAAATCACAATGTTTCCATGTAAAAACCGTGACTAAAACATGACCTACAACTGATGGTAGGTGTTTTGGGGTTTTTTTTTAATGCATATTTATTTGAAGGTTGCTCATTCCACTTGGCAATACTTACCAATGGAAATTCAGCTGGTATAGCAAAGAGAAACAGAACACATTCCAGAAATTTCAGTAAATTATTCTGGCTTCATTTTCATTTTATAAGCTCAGTAATGTTAAGGTTGTTACAATATTCAAAATAAAAATGAAGATTAAGAATGAACTGTGATTTTGTTTAAATCAAATTATAATTATTTTTTAATTTTCTAGGATAATTTTCAAGACTTCATTATATCAGTTGATGATATACACCCTAAGCCAGACACATTAAGTTTTTAATATAATTAAAGTTTTACTTAAGTAAACTTGTTGAAAAAGGAATTATTTAAAACTCATACATTTACTTTGTTTGAACTTTAATGAGCAGAACAGATAGAGAATTTGTGGCATTAAAATTGTTCAGGCACAATAAAAGCTAAAAACATGTCCTTGCTGAATGGTGAAATGAGATTTCCACAGACTACATATGCCTTGTTTCCCACAATCAAACTGTCACAGCATGAAAACATTCTCCTGCTTGTGGAGGTTTTGATACCCATCTCCCTGGTGAAAGTGTGCAAAAGGATCTGAAAGAGTTATTGACAATTCATACAGTATCCCATATTTCATTAGATAGTACAAGCAGAGAACATATCTTAACTCTGAGGGGAGATGAAGCAACAATGTCTTAAATGACTGTTGACTCCACTAAATTTCCTGATAATGTCAGAAGACTGTAGTCTGTCAGGTTCATAAGAGACTCAAGATGATACAGGAATCCAATTATGCGAAGTCTATTTAGTTGTCCTGTTTGCTAAGCCAAAGGTTAACGAGAACTGCACTGAAAAAAACCTCCTGTGGTATTACAAAGTATTTCTTATGCTGCATAACATGTAAATGAAAAAGTATTTTAATCAAGTCTTTGTTTAACTCTTTAATTGCAACAGAGTACTATACAATATAGTAAATGAAAAACTCAGGACAAAAAAAGTGATTTAAATAATTTGCCTTTCAACTAAAGACATCATGACTTATTACTAAAGTAATTATTACTGAGTATTTCTAATTTGCAAAGGAAAAAAAATGTTCAGATCACAGAGCCACAGATAGTCATTGCTAACATTAAATCTTTATAAATAGTAAGCTACGGGCTCTAATTTTAGACAGAAATTAATTATATTTTTGTTGGTAACACACTCAAATCTGTTTACACAGCTGACAAGTCTCAGCTGCACCAGACTCGAGCAGTCAGCTTTGAGAACTCTCCTGCTTTGGAGCAGATGACTCAACATTCACCAATTTCATTAAAGATGAAAAGGAGAAAAATTCACCTGCAACAATGTCACTTGTAAAAACAGACTTAAAACAGATTTATGAGTTTTACATATGTGAGGTATCCCATTCAAAAGAAAGGAGGAAAAAAAAAATATGGGAAAACCTAACAGCTGTGGGAAAAGGGATTAGAAGTGTTGAGTTTCCAATTCTTTTTGGGCTAATGTAAACTAATAAAATGTTAAAATGGATCCACATTCCAAAGACAGTAATTACCACATGACACCACGCTGTTATTTCAGATCTTAAATCTATCGTCTCAGATATGCTCCTGAATACATGGACATAGATTTACCCACCTCTCTCAAACTTAACTACTGTTTCTGCAAACACTACCACAGACATATTTTACAGGTATATTAGAAATTCAGATAGTCTTTCCCCCCCCACTTTTTTTTTAAACTGGAATAAATCCTTTATCCAGAGCAAAAAAAGCAGCAGTCTTATACAAACAGCAATTCTCCCTTTACAAGAAGCAAAGTAGAAATGGAAAGTAATGCATTTAAGATAATGCTAATACGTAGAGAAAGCAAATTTCAATTCCATTGTCACTTCGTAGAATACTCAGGTTCAACCCCGAGTTTAAATGAGCTTTTTATAAAAATAGAATTTTTTTTCCTAAATTTTTCTCAGGTCACAAAATCCATATACAACATAACTATATAATTATTTCACCTTTTAGGTTGTCTGGGGTTTTTTTAAATAAAAACTGGCATTGGGAACATATTATCAGAAGAAAATTGAGCAAAACTGAAAGACATGCTGTAAAGTACACTGTAGAGACAATCATGCAAGGAAGCTAGTCCAATATTTAATGGAATTTTGCAGTTAAGTCCCACAATTTCATGAATTTGTAGAAAATTGACAGTCAGCTGATTCTGTTACTGAGGGTACACACTGATCTCAGCTAAGATTTCCTTACATTTATAAATAATGGTAATTCTAAAAACCTGGAAAATAAATTTTAAAATTTAATACATATTGTACTGTATACACATTATTTAGTATCTCAAAATGTAATCCTGTTAATGTCCATACATTCTTACTGGCCCAGCAAAAAAACAAGGTAGATAACCTGACAAGCAAGTGAAGCTCTCCACTGATTTCAACAGGAACATCTGCTTAAAGCCAGACACAGGCTTCAGAATATCAGTGATCTGATGGGCACCACTGAGGAAAATATCTAGACATGCACTCAGAATACATGTAAAAAAAGGGACATTTTCCTGAAGTTCAGTCATTACATTAGACCTCCTCAACTTCCAAAACATTGCGCAGCTTTGCTCCTCCTAGCCTAAAGCATGCACTGAATTTGAAACACGTGAATAATTTCCATGGAAATGTGCTTCAGTAAGCCAATACTTTAGCATTTGTATCTTCCAAGATAAAGCTCTGAATTACGTGTTACGATTATGTGCTATGAATTATTGTTATGAGAGATTACTGCATACAGGACAATAAAAGCTATTGGATGACTTTGGTCAAAAATCCAAGTAAAACCAGCTATTTGTAGGAAGAAATTAAATGAGAACCAAAGGTACTTACTGAGTCATCTGTGGCAGAAGGAGGCCAGCCTTCCCATAACTGGTGACGGACAGGGATACTAGTTAGGTCATACACATTCCGTTTTACCTGGTTAAAAAAATAAAATAAAGTAAAAAATCAGAACTTTTACTAACAAACGCATACAGGCAAACTGCATTATTTTCATCTTAAATCCCCAGTTTTTTACTTTAATTTTTTTCCAATTATTGTAAAACAGATTCCTCTAACAATCAGTATTAATCAGTACTTGCCATAACTTCATCATGGAAGCACAGTTGAGTTTTGAATACTTTGTAAGTAATGTGGTATTCTAAACATATGGAATGTGCATATCTTCCCTCAAAATTTATCATTTATTTTTAGTACAGAATGTATATGCAACATCTGGCAGTAGATATTAATCTAAAAATGCATTTGCATAATGAAATAGCACCAAAACTCTTTTTCTCTGGATCATCTTTATAGATAAATGCTGCAGGGACCCTTTCTTTCAAATTTTGTACATAGTTCAAATACTTCATAGTTCATTAATACGAGGATGAGGGATACATGTGCAGGCATTAAATGGTAAAAGAACTGTTCTAACCACTGTAAATATCCTACGGGGGCTGTGGGAGAAGGCAGGGATTTCCACATAGATGCTTGCTCCCAAATGTTGATTTGGGCAACATTTTTCAAAAGACTCTTCATGGCAATGCTGCATGAGTTTGCTGACAAATACTACTGAGAAAATACATGACATATAGAGAGCAAAGATAAAGTACAATCCTATTACTGTATTTCCAGTTCTCCAATCCTCCATTCAATTATTGTTGCTCATTTGCATTACTTGTAGTAGTAATGGTATCATTATTTCATACCAATGAAGTGCCCCTTAGTAAAAACAGTGACGAACTGCTTCATATTTCTGGACAGAATTAATAAATTGGCATGAGAATATGAATTACTAGTGTTAACTAGGCTATGTAGATAATAATTGCAATACTATCAGTTTAAAGCTTTATAAATATTCTGACAGATGAGTGGAAAACAATGGCTTCAATTTATTATCCAACAGCAAGATACATTACTTCTAACTCTGATTCTGCATCTTGCTAAAGGATGGAAGTCAGACCACGTGGGTTCCTTATCTGAACATTTCAGTATCATAACATATGAGTTGGATTTTCAGCTCAGCTTTACATTCATTGTACATACATATGTTTTAGAAACATTAAGATAGCTCTCTTTTTCCAAAAAAGAAAAAAAAAAGAAAAAAAAAGGAAAAAAAAAAAGAAAACAAACTGGTAAGTTACATGTGCACCCAATAACCTTTATGTTATTATTGGCTTTGTTCAGGAATTTTTGCAGGGAGACTGATCTGGGAACCACATCTCAATTAAAAAAAATTACAACTATATTTTCATTTAAAAAAACTAAAACAAGAACACTGTTTTATTAGACACAGAATATGGAAGTATTTATTAGCAATTAAAGTAAACTTCATATTAGTGCTTCCTCATATTTAAGCATGTCATCATGCTTTTAAAAAAACAAGTATACCCTAATTATTAAAAGCTTATTTAAATTAATTTCAAATACACATATATCTGTTACATTCTTATATATATATATGTCCATATATATACACACACGAGCACCTGTGAAAAATGGAACTGTGGAAGACCAAACTCTATAGACCTTGGTATATGATCTCATTCCTACTGTTCAAAACAAACAACCTTTCTTCACTGCTTCTTAACAAGAAGGTAGCCTGCTGTGCAGTATTCGTTTCGCAGTAGTATCAAGGTAAAGAGACGTCATTACTCTGTACTGACCCCACAACAGCCCATCAAAATGTAACAATACTGATCTGTGATCACAACAATACGGTTCTTGCAATTTTAGCTTTCTTGCATTAAATACTAGGATAAAACATCCCTGTGAGATAACTGTTCTCACTACCTGTCAAAAAAGTCTTATTAATGTTATTTTCACAATATAAAACTCTAAAACAAGCTATTTTGAAATAAAAGGTGAAACATTTACAGAAACTTGGGATCAACACAACTACATAATATTGTTTTCAAAAAGCCTTCAGAAGTAAAAATAAATAACTCAGAAGTCACATTCCTCAAATTCCCTTTTAATTCCAAAGTACAACAGAAAGGCATTATGAAAAAAACAGTATTTCCCTTCTTTCATTAACTCATCTGTAACTGCACTGAATTCAATAACATTCCTCTGCTATTCTAAGCTTGAAAGGCATGCTCGGGGTAAAGTGTTATGTTGGTATAAAGCACAATGCCAGACTGATGTGCTGGACAAAAGTGATCAAAGTTGAAGTAATTTTAGCCAACGCACAAGTATTCTGCTGCATTATTCTACCAGAATGACATCTGTTGAGCAACTCGTCGCAGAATAAACTAGTTGTTATAGACAGACCTGGTCGGGTAGGGGACCATGTAAGACTTATTAGAGTAATGTTTGATTAAACAAACTGCTTGAGTTAAGATCATAACTGGATTTGGAATTCATGCCAAAGTAGTCCTCTTTCAAACAACAAGCCACAATCAATTATTTAAGATAAAATAAGCTTGCTTTTAAATAACTATTTAATTTTAGGTTTGTTTGATAATTAGAATAGTATTAAGAGAGCAAACTGCAAAAGTTTTAAAGACTAGGAATATTTACCAATTGAGAACAGAAAACCCCTTTTCTTCATTAACTGACTTAATTTCAGTTTAAAATTCTGTAAAGATGAAAAAGTTCTAAGGATTCATATAAAGCACAACTATAAACTGCTTCTTTACTAGGCCAATGAAATAAAAACCTACAGTCATACTCTCCATGCAGCTGAAGAAAGTTAGTATAGTAAATGGATAAGGTCTGCGTTAAAGCTTTTATTTATAAATTCACATCATACTGATGGGAGGACTGAAATCTTTATAGATTTGTGGAAAGCAAACTCTAACTTCTAGTGCCATCCACTGAGCTACATTTATTGGCAAACTTTTTGGTCCTCCACCTTTGATCAGTTCAAAATACTAATTGGTGGCAATGTCTTTGTACAGCCCAGAATTTCTTTTCATAATGTTCAGGTGCCATGGTGACTGGCACATTACTATGGAAGCCACCTTTTGGATTATAATCTCCAGAATATACGATCATTTAAAAACAAATTAAAGGCATGTCTATTTGGTTCCACAACTCAGCTGTGAACAGCATCAATACAATCTTTTAAACCAAATAAAATCCCACAGATATTTCAGATGCAATTTTACTTGGAAAATGATGTATAATTCCTGTAGAATGCCCTGCCTTGCAGCTATACACTGATGCTGGAAAAGCATATGATGTTTTACCTTCAGCTCATTTTCACTGGTGTTAGAAGGGAGTTAAAATTTTAAACAACTTTTAACATTTTAAGAAAACCCATACATCAAAGTAGTCAACACACTGAGAAAACTTTCTGTATATAGGCAGAGTCTTACTTTCTTACCTTTCACTGTTTTTTTTAAGCAGATGAGTATGTGCTTTAATAGGAAGGTTAAACACAAAAGATACACTTCGTTTGTAATACAAAGTGAATCCAACATTCAAAACCCTTCCACATCCATTTTAGTAAGAATAAAATGAAGTAAAATGTATCACAGGGCAAGAAGTCTGTACCAGGTACTGTGATGATGACCCTCTGAGGCATTCAGTTGCTAGGAATAAGTAGCTATTTCCTATTTCTGAATGAGAAAAATCTGAAATCTACCATCAAAAAGCAAACAAAAAAAAATTAACACCTACTGAATTGTTAAAAAAATTAAATATTACGCTGAATCATCAAAGAACTGTCATGCCTGAATCTGTATCTTTGAATCACAACAAATCACAACAAAGTTGAACAGTAGTTTCCCTCAGGCTGTTTTCCGCTTATGCAGGTACAAAGTTAATTGAAATAATGTAGATAATGAACTTTTGTTAGTCTTATTATTAAATATAATTTATGCAAAGCTGTAAATTGGCTGAGATGCTAAAGACTGTTCCAGGCACATAGGCAGCATGAAAGACAGTGCAAAAATGAGTGCATGAAAGGCAGACAAAAGGAGCAATAAAGTCAGAGGACTGTGAGGAATGTGGAATGTGAGTTGGGGGACGCAGGGAAATGAGATCAGATGCAGACAGAGCAAGGTTGAGTGGGGCACTGATAGTAAAGCGAGAATCTTGACTTTGACATTGTAAGAGAGAAGCCCAGATAAGTAAGCAAAACGTTCAGAGGACAGCAATGATATGGATGAGGCAATGGCACAAAGAAATGCCAAGTAAGGAAAAGCATTTTGGTAAAGAAAGGTGGAAAGAAAGATGGCAAAACAGATCAAGTGATAGGTTCAAGATCATAGAAGAAAGCCTTTAACACCTCTGCCAGACAAAATTCCACTGACAGAGGCAGCGAAGAGCACTGGGAATGTGGCAGTAAGGCACTGGAAGCTGGGACAGAGTCTACTGAGTTTCTAAGCAGAGAAGTGTCAAAGGGGATAAAGTGGGGATCTGAAAGTTATCAACAGTTATGAACAAAGATGGGTCAGATAAAAGGGTAATTTCAGTTAACTAGGGACTATCAAGGACAACTAGAAATACAAAGATGTAAAACTAGAAAGAATTTCTGAATCAGCATCTCTTGCCACAACTTATTGCACAGAGTTACTCCATAGTAGCAGTAAAGCAGCAGGACAGAAGTGGAACAAGTTAGGAGAGAAATGAAAAACAAAAAACTGTGATCCATATTTAGAATCTTCCCATAGCAGAGAAAAAGTATTTTGCACTTTATCAGGAAAAGGCTATCAGCAGTCACTGAGAAATTGAGTTTCTTATCTTTAAAAAGTGATACATGCAGTAATTTTTAGCCAGCTACCCACAAGCAGGATACAGTACATTACTTGCTATATGAATATAGGAACAACAACTAACATTAGCACCCAAACCAGATCTCTCAGGTCATTTTATGCAAGATTTGTTTGAGGGGAATGATATAAGACTGCTCCACTCACAATTTTTTTTACCATTTTCTATCTCCAATACATAACATAATAAACTATATTAAAATATAAAGAACAAAGGTTATTTAAATCAACAAATTTTAATTTTAGTGTAGGCTTTAGCTTAGAAACAATAATGCTCTCTAAAGTGAGCAGTGTCTGCTTCTTAAGAATTTCATACCACTGAAACTCTCCAAGGAAGACTCACTAATAGGACTCAAATAATTAAGATTTAACTTACTAATTTAAGACTAAAATAACTATTTATATTTGCACATATACTCAATTCACTGTTGTAACCTAAAGGAAAAAAAATATACTTCCAACCTAAATATTTAATTTAAAATCTACACTGAATGCAAGAGAACTCTCCTGCCCAAGATTGCCAGCCAAAAGTTTGTTGTGATTTAGTGCTTTTCTAAAATACACAAGAATTCAAGTCTGTGTTTTACTACAACACATTCTCTAATTATTTTTTTTATTTCTCAGCTCCTCCTTTAATTATTATTTTTGCTTTTAATACCTCCAAAAAGATTTTGGCCTGCATTTATTAAGTTTTCCCTTTAGTAGGCTAAAACTTTGAAATCTCTTTTCTTGTTTAATGCAGAAGAGAAATGCATCTTAAATTCTACCATAATTGTTTTTAATTCAATGTCTAGAATATATTACTTGCTTATACTACTATGACAACTAGAATCGAAACAAATAAAAGCACCAAAACTTGTATACCTACAGAAAGTACTTTTCCCTCTAATTAAGATTGTTTCATTTTCAAATTAAAAACAATATGCAATTTCTAAATGACCATAAGAGAACCTGAATGTGCACTGTAAGTCAGCCACATACAAAGCAGAATGCATCAGCAAGTTACCACACAAAAAATCAGTAGAAAATTTTCTGATAAATTTTCAAATATCACTTTCCTGTAATTAAACACATTTTGTGTACAGAAAAGCCACTAACACATCCAACTTTCACTTCAGAGTGTATGGAACAGTGTTTGAACCAAAATAAACCCAGTTTAAACTACTGTTAAAAATGGGTTATATTCTAAAGTAGTACTCAGTAAATATTGTGTCAACATCTTCATTAGAAAGCTTGTTGAATTCATTATATAACCATTCAAATTAACTTAGGTCTGGAAAAGAATGTGTGATTTTTGTGACATTTTGCTGATAACAGTTCAAACAAAGAAGATTGAGTCATATTAAACACTAAGCAAAGCCCAGCATATACATTTTTTGATGTTTCCAATTCTTTAAATTCAATATCTAGAAAAAAGATTGAAGTACATGAATTTTGCCTCTAATCATTGGGAAGGTAGAGTAAAAAACTTCATATATCCAGAGATTAAATTAATACTTTAAAATAAATAATCCATACTATTTCCAAATGGAAGGTTAAAAGAAGAAACAAATTCCTACAGAAGAAGGGAAAACACATTCTTAAGAAATTGAGGCAAGAGACACGAGTATTTAAAAAAACAGAAAAAAAAACATTTTAGCAGCATACAAGCATGAGGTTGAAATAGGCTATGAAAGAATTAAGAGTGTGAGCTAGCTGTGACATTAGAGACTGAAAGAAAGATGTGATTAGGGTTAAAAGAGATCAAACAACAAAGACTTACCGCCAAAACAATTTTACAAGTTATTTGAAAATGCCTTGAAGACTTCTGCTAACAAAATAAAACTGATCATAATACTTCAAGTTTTTTGTTTGTTTGTTCTACATATAGTGCACTGACACAGAAAAGATACATTTTGAAGTCCTAGTTTGTTTTTCCATTCAGTAGGAATGGTCACTTGAGAAAATATACTTCTTGTAAGCTAAATGAAGAAGCACTGCTCAATGGGAACTTTTAACTGATCTCTATGAACTGTATGAAAGGCAACAGGCAACTGCTACTAAGTCATCTATTACCAGATCACTATCAAGAGGCAACTACTCTTTTGACAAAGCACACAATTGCAAAATAAAAGGTAAATGCAGTTTCTAATGTTGTTTCCCCCAAGGAAGGATATTAATTTGGCGTAAAAACCAGAAAAATTACCAAAATAGATTGTTAATGTTACTATTCCAGTTGCTTTTATGTCCTAAGATCTTGATAAATTGCCAAACATCAGGTATTTAATTTCCTTTAAAAATTAACATTTTAAGACCTCTTTAAAAATAGTGGGCCAAACCCTGGAGGTCTATACTCATGCAAGATCCGGCATCTGTCAGGAAAAATTAGACCTTGGTTTTACTATAGAAAATGTTACTTTTAGTTACCACTTTGCAGCAGATTTCAGAGTGCTTCACAAAGCATAGTAGAAAAATTACATGAAAGCCAGAGGGTTATTTTGGACTCTGCTGCAGTAGTATACAAGGCTGTAATAGAATATAAGTTAAACAGCAGGCTGAATTAGGATATCTAGACATAGATAGGAAGAAGCCAGGAAAGATTAGAAAAATACTCCAAATTAGAAAAGCATCATTATAAAGATCAGTTCAATGAACTTTGGAGCTATAAAAAGGTAAATGAAAAAAACTAGTTGAAACAGCTGGTCTACTACATGCAACAAAAGACTGCACCAGGGTAACAGTTTGTATCTGGGCTAACCTGATGAAAGAGATCATGGGGAGTCCAGGGACAAGTAATTGCACAAGGATTGTGTACTTCATAGACTTAATAGATAATCCTAATAAATTATCTCAGAGATTAAGCCAGTAACTTGGAGCAAAATATACCTTGACACCTACTGATCATGAAGTTAAGGACACAACCAAGAGCAGTAACTTTGATCAAAGTTATTTAAAACTGGTATGAAAAACAATTTAAACTACTAAATACATTTTCTGCACATCCTAACTTCTCTCAGACCTACCAGAGCCAGGGCCAGAAGCTACTGCCACTACTGGCTAACAGTAAAATGTGAACAAAGGTTAGGAAGTAAGAAAAAAATCTGCCTGCCAGTTACACAGGTTTGATCCCAACCAGTCCATATCACATGTGCAGGTATGCAAGACTATTGCATAAACAAGTGTAATTTTGCACCTCCTGTCTTTCAATCTGTTCCAATTCCTTTGTCAGGAATTAGCATGTGAACTCTTCATCAAAAAGACTTTATTATACTTTCCTGTATCATGTACTGGCTACGCTGTTTCCTTTTTAAGGAGCTAGTTGTCTTAATGAGTTACAGCATAGTGAATATTTTGGATATAGTCAGGTCCTCACTTGTAAGGGCCTTAAAGATTATTTATAGGGTTTGAATTAACACTCTAAGTGAAAGAGATCGTTAATGTGATTCTTGCAGTGGAAAGCAGATCTGTTACATTTTCACAGCTGTCATGTTCTGAACAAAAGAAAAATTTAGATAAATTTATTTGAAGACAAACACCCTCATCATCATTTCAAAAGAAACCAGTTTTCAACAGCCTAAGCATAAGAAAAACATATATTGGTCTTTCATCACTTCCCTACTTGTGCATTTTCATGGGTCTCAAAACCAATCAGTCACTTCAATAAATGGTGAAATAGATGGTCATTTCAGGAACTAATAAGGAGGTGAATGGAAATTAGATTTCCCATTCTTACTGCACTTAGTTATAGTAAAGAGCAACACTTGTATTCATACGAAAAAAAGAAACCACCTTTCCCTCTTCCGAATTTCTTTTTACTTTGGTCCAATGAAAGATTAAATCTTACTGCCCCTCGCAAATCGCATTTATGGTCTGAAGACACATGCTCCTTAACACATTTCATTGATGGACAGTATCTTCCTCCATTCCTACTCAAACGTGTTGCAGAATAAAAACCAATTGTTTCAAAGTCTCAGAAAAAGCATAAACCACATGTGCTTCAGAGACAATCCTTATTTTAAGTTATAACCTTACCCAAATGGAACATCACAAAATCAGTATTTTGTTTTTTACTTGTCTCATTCCTAGACAATTGATAAAATACTCTTTTATGAGAGAGCATATTTTATTGCTACTAGAGCCAATATAAAATCTATTCAATTATTTTTAAATGGCCAATATCAGAAAGTATTTGCAAATTTAGACATCATGTGAAAAAGTAGTTTACTCTATGAATCTTGTGAAGTAAAGTACCACAATTGTGCAGAGAGATGTTCAGTACTTTGATGTAGAAAAACCCTCCAATATTCCTCTTCTTCAATGCTCTACCTATTTCTTCCCATCACTTTTATACTTAAAGTTCACAGCAAGCCTGCTGCTTAGAGAAGAGAGATGGGTAGGCTCTTTCTGCAGCCCTTTTATTCTCAGTGCCAGCCAACAAGATGCATCTAAAAAGGAAGATGAGCCACAGATCTGAAAATACGAATTTCATCAATACTGTATGTACTGTTGCAACAGCTGTCTGACTTGCACTGCATCTTCCAGTGTTGCTTGCAATCACATTTGTAACCCAAAGGAAAACAACATGCAAAGTGCATTTTCTCTAAAGACTTGTTGTTATCTTAACCACACAGAAGAGAATACGGATTACCCAGAAACCCATCAATAACTCAACAGCTGACTTGCTTGGGTCACCTAGGTTGTTGGTATCAGGTAGTTGTCAGACTGTTACATGTGAGAACGCAGTATGAACTCAACACTAGAGCAAAATGTGATATCTTTCTCAGTCAACGTAAGTATGAATTTAATAAATTATTTTATGTGGTTGAGTTTTAATAGATATTCTATTAATGTTATTTTAAATTTAAGTTAAAATAAATTATAAAATCAGATTAAATGAGCTATTAATCAACTTTCTACTAACAAAAACATTACCCTGTAGTTCATCCATTTCATTTTCATGTCTACCAAATCATCGCTTCTTTGGGGGTTTTTTCTTTCCATCAACAGTATTCAGAAAGAATCTGAAATTAATTTCTGGTTTAACCAAGGAACGGCTGTTAGTTTCACAATGGAAAAGTTATGCAGACAATTGTCACAGTGTATTTTAAGAATGTAAACATATACACGTCAATAACAAATATAGTTACTAATATTGCTACATTTAAGGTATTTGCATATAAGGTGCTCAATTAGACTATTAACAAGCAGCTCTCCTATATACATATACATTTTTAAAAAGATAATTCAGTCTATTTAACAATTCACTAACAAAGCTATTCCTTAGCTCATCCCTGCCATAACCTGCTCTATTCAGAAACATATGGGAAAAGACATTAAATAACCAGTGAAAACCATGGACTTCTGGTATTAGTGCTACACATTGCATACCCCTATTCATTATTCCTCCTCCCTTGTTTAATCTATCATTAAGACTCAGTGACCCTACACTAAATTTAAAGCAGATCCTTCCTTCCTCCCATGCCTAAATTCACATACTTTTCTAGTTGGGGATGCCCTCAAGTATTAGCCACTCTACAGGGTTTCTCTAATCTCAGCTCTGAACTATGTTGTGCTAATAGAAGCAAGAAATTGCTGGTTTACATCTTTAACTATGGAATCTTCCACCAATCCCTCCCCCCCCATTTACTTAATAAAATAGAGAAAAATCTTGCATTTAGTCCATATTTAAAACATACAAAAATGTATATATTTCCCTCTATATGATATAGAATAAAAATTATAAAGTAGACTTGTTTTAAAGCACTGCTTCCTGGTGCTTACGTCCCAAACACAGTCTCATTGGAAACAATTTTAAAGCTTTCAGAAGTTTATTTTCACATCTTATAAGAGCTAGATCTTAGTTTGCAAAGTTAATATGAAATAATTTTCTAATAAATGAACCAAAAAAACCCAAGAAAACAAGAAGATTATTAAAAAAAATCCGATAGTAGATGTGCTTTTGTTTTATAATGCAGGAACTAAAAATATATTAAAAATTATGAAGACCTCTGCCTTTTTCACTTCTTTTTATTGAAACAGATTGCACTTTACATTAAGAGTTTTCTGAAGAAAGGACAAGAATCATTATCATTAACATTTGTACACATTTTTCAACTATACTCCTGTGTTATTCTTCCATGAAAAGGTGAAAATTGATCTTCATCAGGATTTTAAAAAGTTAAAGACAGTAAGAGTATGAGTAAAGCAGAGATTATACTCTATTGAGTAAACAAATAAACCGGGCAAAGGTGCAATCTGAACATAGATTTTTATCTTCATGGAAAGAAGCCATACAATTTCATTTTGGTTTCATGAATAATACCATTTTCAGCATATTTAAATATGTTTAAATGTATTTCCTCAAAATATAGAATAGTGTTAAAAAGAAGAGCTGCAACCTGACCAAGAATCCCAGTCTGCATTCTCTTTGGCTCTTATTTCTTTGATTTCTTTAAGTCTTTCCCCCAACAAGTCAGCACTTGAACTCATGGTAGGTGTACATGATTTGTACCTATTTGTACAATACAAAAAGATGAAAAGGAAAGCAAACTAGTAAGATTCAAGTTGTCAAAAATCATGTTTTCCTACGTGCAGGCTATAAAGAGTTATTTCCAACTCCTGTTCTCTATTAGAAGTCAGGGATAGTTAAAATAAACACAGTAAGCTGAGAGCAATACTGGAAAACCTGAAGTTCGAGTTCTACACAGGTGCAGACACAGGAAGATGAAGGAAAAGTGTTACCAGAAAAATCAAAAAAAACCCCAAAAACCAATAAATGTGAACTATATAAAACTGGTACATTGAATAGAGAAAAGAATGAGCTGGAAGCCTCTCCAACGAGGAAGTTTTCTTTACAAGAAGTAACCCTTTTATGAAGGAAAGTCATCCTGTTTTGGTGAAGCCAACCTTTTTAATCAAAGGCATACTGGCACACTCCTGCCAAAAGCTGCTTCACATGCCGAAACTGCATTTATGACAGAAAAGCTGACCAAAAAAAAGTCACAAAAGTCA